GGCGCAGTAACCCCCCCCCCCTCCCTCCCTCACATTCATGCTGATAGTTTCAGCGATTCTAGCAAATCAATGGTCCCATATCGTCAGAAAACTGGGCACGGTTCCATTATTATGCGCGTAATTCGTACCGCTGTCGTCAGGTCCATAGACGCAAGGATTTGGACACCAAGTCTCCTCACCTTGCACAAGAATCAAGGAAAACGCCCTCTGCTGCCTTCTCTTCAAGACCTTGTCTGGGATCAAAAGCTCAATCTAAAACCCTCCTTCTCTGTCCTCCTTCTCTTCATACCCTCAACGCTTCGTACTCTCCGACTGTGGCTCATTGGTGGGTATAGGTTTTCGCATGAATACATACGTAGGATAGAGTCTACTTTAGCGGGGTTGTTGCAGAGCCTCCAATCTCAAGCGCCATCTTTGGTGGCATACACTTTGCGACCGTTCAAGACATTCCAAACATGGCCTCCACAGGCTTCTGTATCGTTCGTGGCCCACCACAACTTATGCCGCATACACCTCGCGCACTCCGTCTCGATTAGATCACTCATCCTACGCGCGCTCAGCACGCTTGAACATCTAGTTGTTCTCAGAGTCATGCACCTCACTGTGGAAGGCGATGAGCAGCTATCCCCTTTCTCTTATCCCTTCTTGTCTGAATTTTCCACGTCTGGAGATATCAAAGCACTCACGACGTTCTTCACACATGTTTCTTTCCCTAAGATCGAACGTCTCTCTCTGTGGGAGGCTGTCGCAACACGGGCTGTCCTACGAGCCGAAATGCATCACGAATGGCTTTCGATACTGCAAAACGCATGCTCGGATAGTATCCAAATGTTACACATCCACGTCCGAACACATCCCAGCCTTGGAAATATTGACCGAGTGCCAGTACGGTGTGATCTTCTCGCCATTATTCGCCCTCTCTTTGCTATGTATGGCCTACGCGATTTGCGTTTCACAATTTCGCACCCAAAGGCACTGTTCTCCGTTACCGACCGCGATATTCGAGACATGGCAAGCGCGTGGCCGGGGATGACGACTCTTACTCTTGATTACAACAGTGGACCCACGCTACCCACCATCTCTTCCCTGCAATATTTCGCCCAACTTTGTCCCGATCTCGAATCGCTGCACATGAGCGCATTTAGAATGGAGCTTTCATCGCCCCTCCTCGCGGATGGGACGACCATGAACTCGAATAAGCTGCAGAATATCAGCTTCAGGCGACTGACAGGCAAGAACCGAAGAATTACAGACCAAACTGAGATGGCGCTGTTTCTCTTCAGAACATTTCCTCTTCTAGATAGCGATAGTATGCTAACCTGTTGTTCAAAACGCCGCTATAAGGATTGGAGAAATGTGCTTTCCAAAATCGCCAAATATCAGTCCAAGAGGAGGGCGTTGCCATGATGAAGTGAAGGAGATCAGTCTACTGTACGTCTCAACGACTCGGCCAGAGTAGAAAGCTTGCTGAGAAATCTCGATGGTAATCTACAGAACGACCATCTGTAGGACAATGCCACTGAAAGGAAGGCAAAGCGACATACGTGCACATCTATCTCGGACAGGACCGTATTGTATCTCGTGTACTGAACCTCGTGTAGTACCACTCCAAAAAGTCTTTCTTCTCAGTAATCTATATCTTCCCTGAGGTGAATTGCGTTTCAAAGGGAAAGAAAACAGCTGGACTCGCCTCCATTGCCAGGTATATCGTCTGAGTCATACTTGGTCGCGACGCGTCGAACGCGTGACGTCACGCGTTTTCCCACAAGTAAGTTACCCTGTGAAGCGCTTCGTTACTTTGATCACACCCATCGACACCTCAAACACACGGATGCATTTTTATATCCCTGAATTCGGATATCTATGTCTTTACTTGGCGCGAACACCACTATACTGGTGGCGCATCAGAACATAAAGGCGACCTCACTGTATCCAAAATCTTCAAACTCGATGCTTACTCGGAACAACATGCAAGTGAACCGCTCGAGACCAGTTGTAATTTGTGGAAGCCCTACTGAAGGTTCTACCTGTCTCAAATGTGCGACGCAGCAGCGCACATCTTCACAGGTGCAGGTATAGCAATTGCGCCATTTCGTTCCATATTATTCATCCGCCTTGGTTTCTAGAAATCTCACCATCTGACACTACTTCCTGCGCTCACGTACGAACGTAAGGGCAATGAGTATGGTACGACTCGGTTTTATTAAAGCTCTCTTCTGACCAATTGCCTGCAGCAGTTTCAATTGCGTTGGTCCTCTGCAAGTCACTAGGTCTTCCCGGTTTAATCCACGCCTGGTCCACGCGGCACACACGCTCCGGACTCGCTGAAGAAGCAGGGAACCATCCCTCTCGTGCAAGGGGCATTGTGCGGGACTGATATTTACTGGCGTATTACGTTCAGGTTCCCGAACTGCAACGCATCGACGACCAGGATCACATGGAAACCGATCATCGTCTTCAAATCGGAAGCGGGGGACGGTGGCACGGACACCTTTGATATCTCATCAATGCTTGGACAGCAGCGACCATCATCACCCAGGGTCCTTGCAAGGGGAGCTAGACCCTGCACACGTTCATGTTGCGTGTCGAGAGGAGTACTGCTCGATGTGGTCCCGGCGCCTTGTTCCCAGATCATTGAACATTCAGTTCAAGCACTCAGATACTCTCATTCGATAGGTGGCGTGGGGAGGCCTCGCCCAATGACCACGTTTGGCTCATCGATGAGACGATGGGTCATCAAAGCTGAATGCATTGATCGCTTCTATACCGGTCTGTCACATCGATTCTTTTCATCGCGACCTCACTGTCTCCGTCCATCTTGGCACTGGTACACCACATGTCTGGACGACCGCACAGGGCTGTGCCCATGTGACATGTGGTTTGGATTAGAAGATGGACGATGTACGTCGCATAGGGAAGACCGCGGTGAGTGGTTGCATTAGTCACCGGCAGTGCGACTATCAACTTCTTATATTGGTCAAGCTACACGGTTCGTCAGTCTGGGTTGCCCCATTCCTGTTGAAGAAGCTAACAAACTCGAGCACTTCCAAATTGGACGTAAGCTGCGGGAGTTTACATGAAATGAAGGCCGCGGTAAGCGTCCTCGTGTATCTGTTTCATCTCGAACGCGTTCGAAGTCTATGTGCACATACAGATGGACGGATGTGGTAAGTTTGATGTCTCTATCTCCTTGTAAATGGATCAAAATTCAAATTCCAAGCTTAATAGATGGACGCTGTGTTCAATTCCGTTCATTATGAGACCGCTGTCTTTCATTTCTGAAGTTTCCAGAACGCACTGGTCCAGCTAGAGCCGACGCCAATTCTGTATCTTGGCCGCATTCTGCAGACCGAGGCTGTTCTCGGGGCTGAAAGGGGTTGCACTGAAGTCGAGCCTGCCTATCATGCAGACTCAGCACGGTCACATTGTGCCCAGAACGTCCCCCGGGCGCGTGATGTCTGATTTTGCACTCAGGCTGAATCTCCCGACTCAGTCTTCCAACAGCTTGATGGGTTGAACTCCCCTAACATCTGATCGGTTTGGCGCAACGTGTACACCCCTCTTCTAGTCCTAAGCCACTTAAGATGTCGTCAGTCACCCGCGGCGCTTGTTTTCACCGCAAGAACAAGAGGGGAAATTAGTTTAAATGTATCCGCAAAGGGCTGATTCGAAACTCTCCGCATGCGACAGGAGGCCAAAATTGCGTATGCAGGAACTGATCGCGAATCTCGTGTCGAACAAACGATCGTAGAATCAGTAGTACTGCTCTCACTAAACATGCAAAACAAGAAAACACAGAACGAGGTGTGAGAGAAAAAGACAGAGAACGTAGACGTCGTTACGGACGGCACATGACGGGCGGGCGTACGTAGGTAGCAGCGAGCTATATAGGGCAGGCAGTGTCCAGTCCGAGACGATACGGTAGGGTACGATATGATAGACGACGATGGTGATAGTAACGGTCATGACGATGGGGGTTATGACAATAAGCAAGCGCAGCGCAGGCGCGATATACATACATGGCGCAATGTAAAGGACAGTCAGGCAGCAACCAAGGCCTGCAGCGAGTCAGTACTAGTCAGTTACGCACACTATCAGCGAAAATGCGAGTTCGAAACGACTGACGGTCAAAGGTGCGCAGCGAGCGGCGACATCCGTCCAGCGGGCTACACACGGATCGACCACCACCACACGCGAAGCACAGCATCCACGCGCAGATCCATCTCCACAGCTACAGCTGGTCGCAAGTCTGGGCTCAGCAGATCACACAGCACTTGTTGCCCTCCCAGTCGCGGCTCCCACTGCGGCTGCCCTTCCGCTCGTGCGTCGGGACGTGTGTGGGCACGCCCTCGCGCATGAGCATACTCGCGCGGGTCGCAGCCTCAAAGACGTCGTCAACACCCTCGATTTTCAATGCACTGCACTCCTTGTATCCGCGTGCACCGATAGCTTGCGCGACACGTTCCGCTTCAGCACGGGAGACGTAATTCTGCGAAGAGGGCGAGCCTGAGTGGAGAGGCGATGGAGAACGCATCGATCGGAAAGGAGTAAGATGGATCGTCATCAGTATCTACGGCCTTGAGCGGGGTGGACACGAACGTACCTTCCGGCGGTCGAAGATCTGATTTGCATCCAACGAGGATCACAGGGATGGTGGGGCCACAGATCGAGCGGACTTCTTCTATCCACTATGCGCATCCGGGAACACGCGGGTGAAAAAAAAAGAAAAGCAGTACTGTCAGTCTTGGCGAGCGACAACGCAAACGACGGGACAGCGACATGCCTTGACGGTAACATTGTCCAGAGAGTCAGGAGTGTCAATAGCAAATGCGATGAGAATAACATGTGATTTGGAGTAGGACATTGGTCGCAAGCGCTGTCAGAAGAGAATCCCCGTTCCAAAATGTCGCATCGCATCCGTAGGCGGTAGCAGAGGCACGACGACAAAGCGACATGGGGGAACACACAACAACGAGACGAGCGAGCCGAGGTTGCGCCGGGAGAAACACAAGCGTGCCGAAATCAGAACCGCAGAACGAGACCACGCATCATGTGCAAGCGGGAGTCGAGGAGCAGAAAATGACGCAACGTCGCCACGTTCCGCGTAATCAGCCGGGTAAGCGGGGTCGAGAACGAGTCGGGAGCAAAGGTAATGGTGACGATTGCGAAAGCGAGTCATCAAAAATAGGGTAAGGCAGGTTCCAGGGTCAGATCTCACGCGGAAAAGGGCAGACAGAAGCGCGTACCTCGTATTCTTCTTGACCGCTAGATATACGGTAAGCAAGATGAAAGAAGAAAGGAAAATGAGGCGTGGACGCACGCAGTATCCCACAGCGCGAGCTGTACGGGCTTGCCGTCTAACCTAATCTCAGCGACATAGTTTTCGAAGATTGCTGCGCGCAGAGTGTTGTCAGGAAAGTGAAAGTAGAATCACCCTGAACTTACTTGGTTGCTGCAAGAAAGAGGTGGCGTGAGCATATTCGTAAGGAAAATTGAGATGACGAGATTGAGAAACGAGCCGAAAGCGAAAAACATCGTAGTAAGGGAACGGTAAAGAAGAAGCTGGATTAAAATAGAATACAAAGACTCACATATTCCTTGGGAAACTCGCCGAGTGCGAACGAACACAGCAATGACGTCTTGCCGCATGCACCTACAAGTAGCGACGCCGCAACATACATCAAGAGGGTTCACCAGGTTCCATTGCAGTCGCATGTGTAACAAAGGCGTCAGATACAACGAGCCGAGACCCATAGCAGAGCAATTGACGATGAGCGACGGAGCGGCGGGGAGAGAAGAGCCAGGGATGGGCAGTACGCGTAAAGTTAGCGAAAACGGGGGTATGAGAGGGTAAAAGAGACGTGCCATCGCCGACAATGACCAGCTTTCTCCGAATCTGGATGTCGAAGCGGGATGAGGAAAACAAAGGAGAAGAGGGCTGGCGTGAGCACGCACCAGGTTTTGTGAAGCCATGGGCGCGACGCAGGAATGAATTTGGCCGTCGCAGACGAGATGCGTACCAGCGAGGGGGTGTCAAGAACGAGCCTCGGAGCTGTTGACAGCGTCGACGAGAAGGTGTAAGACGATGAGAAGAGCGGAAAGAGGGAGGAGGTGAGAGATAGGACAGGATTAGGCGAGGAGGGGACACATGAATCGCACTAAAATGGAACGAGCCGGAGGTCCCGCCGATGCCAGGAATCGACTATTATTACGTAATGAGGCGGTCCACGGTCCATCCCGCCCGCTTTTCGCATCCCGCCTCCGGCGCCGACGCTGTCCCCGACGCCGGTGTCCGCCCTGGGGCCGCCGCTGATGATCTCCGCTCAAACGTGCCGACGCATACCGCGCTGTCGTCCACCACTCGCTCACCGCAGGCCGCCCCCTATGGGGGCCGTTGTGGCTGATGCCGGGTTGATGTGCGTATCAGCCGCCGCCTCGCGTGTTCGAGCACTCCACAGAGCTGCTTGTTGGACTGCCACTGACAGTTGCGCCATATGTTCTCCCAGACCGCAGCTTCGCTTCAGCTCTTCCTCCGTCCCAATTTCTCATCCTCTTCCCGTCGCCCCGGACGCTGGCGCTGTGTCGCTACTGTCCGCCACGGTATTGTCCCTTTGTATACGACGTTCACACCCACCACATCGACGAACACTGATCGCTTGTGTGCACTCTCAGGCTATCGCCCGCTGTCCTTCCCGCCAACAGACTCCTGGCCTTCTTTGCGCACGATGTACACGCGGTGATGGACAGATACCACTGAAGCCCGGTTTCTCTTCTCTTCAAGTTTTCCTGATCTCCTTGGTCCGGACCGGCAGTATCCTCCTCTCGAGGGCTTTGGCCGCCCTAACTCTTCAACCCGATCCCGGCGCGTCTTCCATGTATCTATATTCCAATTCCCGAGGTAGCGGGTCACAATTGCTGTCAAAATGCTAAACGCTGTGCAGCGCGCTCTCCGACATGGGCGGCGTGCTGGCGCGATATGTACTATACACGCTTCTCTCATATTTGTTATTACTAGCTCAGCAATGAATTCTTCAATGAAGGTTCGGATTCCCCTCCATTACCCCCTGCGGCATTAGCGTGCCTGAGACCTGTCTTCGTTCAGAGCCACTCCTACCAATTCGTCAAAGCGCTGAGCCCATTTCCTCACGGCTAGCCGAACACTATCTCATCCATGATACTAGTTATGCGTCATTCCTCCAGAGTGCGACACTAGTACAGTGGTACAATCACACAGTACATAACGGCGCAACATGCCAATCAGATTGACCAAATTGGTCACGCGCGTTTCACTCGCCCCTCACAGCGGTGAGTAACTGTGGGCTTTAGCCGTCTTCCTAGTCAGTGTTACGACTACGACACATAGGCACCATCGGACTAGTCCGCTCGTACAACGATTCCGCGATCGGGAAGACGGGCACACGGAAAATATCACCATTCTGGTACGATAATCGCCCACCTAGAAATTTGAGTTCCCCACCACGGCTTGCACTCTCCGCTCGTGATACATGTAGATTTACGTCTCTCTTCCTCACTGATGGACGTATTTGAGCGACAGGGGCTGCGTACTGTGTCTAGTCTTCACACCGCAACTTCTTCTGGGCTCGCTCATGCGGCTAGCACTGCTCTACATCCACGGCAATTGCACGGACGATTCCCACCACACAAACAACATCCGCTCACCTTCTGCTCCTCCGTCTTCTATCCCCCGTCATCTATAGTCAAACAATCTCTTCTTTGCCAGTTAACTCTTGGGGGCATGAGTTTCTACGGTGCTCCTTTGCCATCTGCTGCTCTGTCATCTCGTCTTTCTGTCGTCGTGCAGGTGGCACGGGTGCTCATGCACTCTACCGTCACAGCAGTCGAGCACGAGGCTTGACCTTGCCGCTACAATCTGTCACTTCGTTTCTGTGTAGCACTAGAGCTCAGAAACCGCCCATAGGTCGGACGCCGAAGGAGCCGCTGCTGTTGCAGTATATTTTGGTGGCCTACCGCGAGCACTACGCGCGGACATGGGAACTCTGCCAGTCTAGCCGGCAGAAACTTACAGACACGCCCCGCCGACCCTTCACGATTGCATACCACCCAGCTCCCCGGCGCTCATACATTACATTTACGAGCACTCGGCTATCCCCATGATCCCCCCGCGCGAGACTCCTCACGTCCATTCGTGGCACCGCCTGGCGAAGAGGAAGAGCGTGTACCTCTCCCCGTCTCGTAAGTGTCACACCGCAAGCTTGCAGCGTTTCAGCAGGCATGGACGGAAATGTCGGCAATAGCTGTGCGGCAGGCGGTACGGCAGCATAGTTGCGTATGGTAGGCCATTTGATTTGTACTCCCCTCCGTTCTCGGCACTCGATACGTCCTGTTCTTCCCTACCTCAGCCCTCCCCCTCCACCCCCCACCGCGCTGCTTCTCATCTTCGTCTCACATGGGTTTTTAGGGTGGACAGTCTTGTTGGGTGCGTGCGTGCACGAAAGCTTGTGAAGGCTGCTGCACGCCTCGATCGTTGGCCGCTACACCGCCTCCAAAATTTCCTCACACGAGCAGGACAGCCATCTGCAGCTTCATATTCCGTCCATTAAGGTCGCAACTTGGCTCTCATATTTGAGCGTGTGGAAAACCGTCTTCTGATACACGAGGAACGCCTCTCACCCCATTTGAAGGTCGCGCACTCAGCACCGGGGCAATTGTAAGCGCAACGCTGTAACCACACTACGAAGGGCAATTTATTTCAATCCGATATGGTGTAGTGGCTAACATTATCGCCTCTCACGCGATAGCCCGGGGTTCGATTCCCCGTGTCGGAATTTTTTCATCAGTGTTAGCCTCATAATTCCATGCTCCGAGCTCCCTTGGTCCGGTATTCTCCTACTTCTCAACCGGTCAACGTTCCTCCAGCGTGGGGCAACAAAGCTCTGCCCCGAATTTTAGCAGATTATGTGGTTTGGTTTCAATCAACTTGAATCAAGACTGTGTTTAGACTGCATATAGGTTGACATCCAATGCTACCTTTTTTTCAATTCTAATTCCCATCAATGTTCACGAGGGCCGAACCTTATGTAGACAGTAAAGACGTCATAGCGTACGTACTACAGTAGCACTCGCAATCGAAACAGAGCATTGAGGACACGGCCCGAGTTGGTGGGGCGTGACGAGCGTCGCTGAGGTACAGTAAGTCAATGCTACTTATGTCTTTTGTCGTTGCAATCTTATTTTCTACGCATATATGCAATGCGTTCATTGGATACGAGCAAGCATCCAGGTCAAGTTAAGCCTTTCCCAAGTTTCCACAGCGCTCAGGCTGAACTTGATTGACGGCCAAATCGGTGTTACTGGTGTTTACCAACTGCTCGCTTTCTCAATCTGATTTTCCACCGTCCGTAGGTATTTATTATATCATAGTAATATTGTCAAAGTTGTTGCTGAAAATACAAGCCGGGGAGGTTAGGAGGTATACAAGATATGACAGGATCAATATCAGTATGCACTAAAGTTACAGTGTAGGGTATTGATATATAGATGTAGGTGAAGCGAATTTCCATACAGCGCATTCATGAATCCCCGTATTGAACGGCCATCTTATCCTTCTGCGCGAGTCTCTCTAGAACTCATTCTCATGTCAAAGCCTCCCCCAATGACATCGTAGGCAAGGACCACAGCCGCACAGTACTGTCATCGGACGCAGACACAATGTGTTTACCAGTCGGTGAGAACAGCAGGTGACTGATGTTGTCGGTATGCCCATCGAACGACGCCAGGCGCTCCCCCGTCTTCGTATTCCACACTCGCACCGAATGGTCGTCCGCACCCGCACACACAAGCTCGCTGTTTGGCGAGAACGCCGCAGAGTTCGCGAGGCCTTCCCCTCCATCGATCGTCGCGATCGTCTCCGCGGTGTACGAGTCGCACACCTTTACGACCCGGTCACTCGCCACCGACATCACCTGCTTCCCGTCAGGCGAGAACGCGACTGCCCAGACAGAGCCCGTGTGCTCGCGCAGCGTAACAAGCTCATCACCCGTCTGCATATTCCAGATCCTGCAGCTCCCATCGTCCGAGCCTGTCGCCATGCGCCGCCCATCGGGCGCGAACGCCATCGAGTACACAACACCCTCGTGCCCCATCAGCTCAGCGAGTGGCGCGCCCGTCTTCCCGCACCACACCCGTACCAGACAATCCGCGCTCGCCGACACCAGCCGTTCGCCGTCGGGTGAGAACCGCACGAGCATCACCATCGTCTGGTGCGCGTTCGTGCTGTGCTTCTGCGTGCCCGTCGGTGCGTCCCACAGGCGCACGGTAAAGTCGACCGAGCCTGACGCGATAAGCTGCCCGCTCGGCGCGTACGCGACCGCGTCCACGAAGCCCGCGTGTCCCTCGAGCGTGCGCAGCCGGTGCCCCGATGCGACGTCCCACACTATCATCATCTTGTCCCACGAGCCGGAGACGAGCTCGCTCCCGTCAGGCGAGAACGCGAGCGAGCACACGCTGTTCGTGTGCTCCCGCAGGTCGTGCAGGAGCCGCCCGCTCGCGACCTCCCAGATGGCGACCGAGAAGTTCTCGAACCCCCCCGCGACGTACCGTCCGTCAGGCGAGAACGCGAGAGCAGAGACGCCCCCACGCTCTGCCCCTCCCGCGCTGGGCAAGACTGAGCCAGGTGCAGTGCGGTATTGAAACGATTCCTTTTTTGGCTCCTCGGCATCGGCATTGTCTGGCGGAATTGTATCGTCATCGCCATTGGGAGGTGTAGGGGACTCGGGTATCTCGCCGGTAGCTTCATGAGCTTCCTCTTCATGTGCATTCTGTCCTTCGTCTATGGGAATGTCTTCGAAAGACAACATGCCAACTGACGGACGAATAAGCAAGTTGCTCGAACACAGGATTCGATACTTACGGCCATCCTCGTTTACCTCTATGTTTGGTTTGAGATGTTGCAAGAAAGATCGAATGTCTTCTGGGAAATCTTCTTTATGTATCTACAGGACTATAAGCGTGTGCATGGATATCCAAGTGGAGGTGAGGCGCACTTCGCATAGTTTGTGGATATCGCGGTCGTTCGCAATGGCGCAATCTGAACTGGAGTTCTATTGCAGTAGCGTAAGGAAATGAATTGCATGGCAAATCCTCGATCGCACCTCGAGGATATAATCTAGCACAAACTCCACAGGATCATACGGCTAAGGACATTCAATAAAAGTTAACTCCCGCTAACGTGTGGAATACGTACCGTTGGTGGCGCGGGCACTTCCTCGACGCTATAATCATCATCGTCTGACGGATCTAGGTTCTGAGGCTCTGCGGCTGCCTCCATTTTCTTGATTCCCAAGAATCGTCTCTTCATTTTGTAGTAGTGCAAGAACACACATTGATTCATCTCGAGGACAGGAGTAGGAGCAGACGAGCTTTCCTCATGAGTTTGCTGCAACTGTTGCTGTTGCTGCTTCTTCTTCGACTTGTTGGACTTGGGCTTGCCAAACGGCGAACCGGACTGCGAGATCTGTTGGCGCTGAGCCTCAGGAGGACCGGAGCGGAAGGCGTAATGCCTAGACGTCGCACGCGCCATCTCTACTGAGATCCCCGCACCCGCTATACCTGCAAAGTTGCCGTCGATCGAGAGCTTCGCAGCGCGGCCTTCGTGCGTGATCGCCGCCACCGCCCACTGCGTCGTCTTTACCCAGCCACGGACAAACATGATGTCCTCCAGGGCGATATCGACATCGACCGTTTCTGAGGTCGCAAAGTCGTGCCAGCTCTGGAGGTTTCTGCTCATGTAGTTCGCCATCCTGCGGCTGGGGTGCAGCTCCTCGCGGGTGGCGGGATCCTTCACGATTAGACAGGCCCCCTGGTCTTCCGAACATTCAAAGTGGAATCCGACTTCGACTGCGTGTCTGGCGGAGTGTGCAGTGAGGCGATCGACGAGCAATAGAGAGATCGGATACGTACGCTTCAACATCTCCCCCGACCTTTGTCTTGCGCAAGCTGTTTGAACAGATCGGCCCTGCGGGTATCGCAGCCTCCTGCTTGTTGAGTCCGTACTCAGATTTTTGGAACGGCTGATAGGACTCCTTGTTCGGCACGCCGAACTCTTTGTTCACCAGATCGCCCGCTTTGCTCATCGCGTTGAACAGTCGATAGAATCCGCCGTGGCGCACATAGCCCACGTCTCCTAGAAGTACCTCACCGTGTTTAGTGGGCTCCGGAGACCATAGGGGAAAGCCCTCGCCACATCGAAACAGCTGCGTCGCGTAGACGACATCAGGACTGTTGATGGAGGTCATTGGCTCAAAAGTAGAGGTGGGTGAGAAATCAGGGCAGTCGTGGAGCGACTCTGAGGAGCAGTGATTCCCCGGATTATAAGCAGAAACGAAGCGCAGTGCCCCAGATACCTATGTGGTTTGTGGGCATGAGGCAGTGAGAGACGCCATGGCGGCAGTGTCGGTCCTTCGCCCGGCGGTCCCGGAATGGTACTCTACAAGACGTGTATATGTGCAGATGCTGGAATATCATCTGTACGTCGTCTCTGTCTGAAGTCCCGTTGCAACGCTTGCGGACAGAAGGAGACCGCAAAACAACCAGCGTCGAGCCGTCGGACTGTACTAGCAGATCACGGCGCCAGATTGATTGCCAGGAAGTAGAATTTGAGCGATTCGTTATCCAACATAAAGTACAGAGAGAAGAAATCGGTGAGAATTGTTATAGTCCGATGCGATGTTTGAAGATTCGAACACGCTAGGATCGAGCAAAATTCCAATCGGGACTATGGTAAGCGCCGGTTCAACAAGCTTATGCGAGAGAGAAACTCGCGCGCGCTCTACATAACAGTTTCTCTCCCGTTCTCGATCAGGAGCCTCGTCGCTGTAGCTGGCTTTAAGCGAGCACTCAACGTGTCTCGGTTCGTTGCTTAGCTGCCTTCAAGCTCGATGCATCTGTACAGATGACGACACGAAAATTGTACAACGGACTCGAGCTTAGAGTTCAACGCGGGGGAGAACTGACATTTGAGGGTGCCAGGTAGGCCTGGCGCTTATACAGCTACGGACTCAGCACGTCCTGAACTCAGAACATCTTGGTGTAAGAACCGCTGTCGAATTTCCGCTGAGTTATGAATACTGCGATCTGAATGAATATGCTACACCTCTCTTGATACCTTAATTCATTTCAAGAACTGACTGCAGCCAATAAACAACACGATCGATAACCTGTCCTGAATTTCTTGGATACTAATTGAGCTTTCACTTTGTCTTAGATTGCAGCTAGCGAACGCGAAGATGAGCATGAGTGCGAAGACTAAGTCAGCTCTTGTAGCCTCATCTGCGTTGTGTAGATCAAGTATCCTTTCACCTCACGACCTTGGAATTCTGTAGAATTCAGTATACGTTGGCACAATTCTGCTCATCTCTCAATATCTCGACAGTCATTGTACATCTGTGGTAATGAATTCTAGTAGTGGTATGCCCAACTCTGACTTTTTGAAATAGGTGGCATGTAGGCAAATAGGACTCAAATGTTCTAAGCCATTGGTCGCTAATTCCGGGAGAGCATCGACGACTCGGTCACCTTAATGGCTCGGATACATTTTGGACATTCCATCTTCCGAGTTTGGCACATTGTCTGTGTGCTCGCTGGACCAATTTTGTGATGAAGCTTGTAGGTGTTCATTTCTGTTGACGAACGAACAGGGATTTGGCTTACAACTACCAACGTACACAAATTCGAATTTGATCATTATGCACTAAGTTCTATGTCATAAGCCTAGTCACTTAGGCATCAGCATACTTCTTTAACAATTGTCTTCCGCAAGAATAACTTCTCGGGAAGGCTCTAGACCTCACTTGCCAGTGACGGAACAAAATGGGCATTCCCATGGTGTGCATCATCCAGCTGGGTAATCGGAAACGTGACCGCGTCTGATGGGCGCGTCGCGTTGAGCAAAGTTTTCGAAAAGACAACTCAAAATCTGGCCGGCAAAAGGTCAAGTCATCAGTTCGTCATGATTCATATCCTGCGGTAAGTCAGTGTCATGGCTACCAGCTCTTCGCAAGAAGACTTATGTACCTACAGAATTCGACACAGAAGACGCGTTCCTGGCCCGGCCCGCTCATGATCATGGAAACCGTTGCCTCCCCGAGAGAATAAAGGCACGATGGACTGGGTATGTGCTCTCATTCTGCGGTCTTTCTTTTCATTTGCTCTCCTTCTCTGTCTGGTGTCGTTGAACGGCCGTTCTGTTGGACCTAGTGTCGCCTTCATTCCGTTACAGTCAGCGCAGGCCAGCGACCACTTTCCTTTGAATTCTTCCCGAACTCAAGATGCTTTCCAAATCGTTTGTCCTGCACGTACTTTCTGCCTTTGCATTCTCCAAGCAGGTTTTGGCTCGTCCCGTTGTTGTCCCTCCACACTACGCTCGCGCCGCGGAGGTTAATACTGCGACTTGTGCTGTAAGTAGTCCATTCAGACACTGATCTACAAATACTCAGTTCCTCATCGGCCCATTAGGTCGTCACGGTAACCGTCAGTGACACGGCTCCCACGAGCACGGTAGGTCGATCGCTCTCGGTCCCGACATACTCCCATTTAACTGAATTTTAGGTGGCTGCCACTACGACTGCCTCGGCTACCGCTGCGACCTCAACACTCTCTTCATCCGTCATAGGCGACTTCGGCTCGTGCTCCGTGCCCGAGATCGAGTTTGGCACTGGCTTCGGCGGCAGGACAGAAACCGCGTTCCAACCCGTGAATCAGACATCTTACAATCACGGTAACTAGACAATCACAAGCGTTCTGCTGAGAATCTTACATAGTGATTAGGTTCCGCAGACAACATCGCTGTCATCACCTCCTTCATCTGTCTCGCCCTCACCAATACTTGCGGAGCGAATGCGCTGGCCAAGTCGACGTGCGCCACGGCCGCGTCTGCTGCAGCTAACGTAACTGCCCTTACGGGTGCACAAGCTGACGCCTTCAACGCAGTGTTCGGCATTGAGACCGATTTCGCTTCCGTTCCTGAAGTAAGTAA